CCAATATTACATCACTTGTTAAGTACCAATATTACATCACTTGTTAAATAACAATATTACATCACTTGTTAAATAACAATATTAGATCACTTGTTAAGTAACAATATCACATCACTTGTTAAATAACAATATTACATCACTTGTTAAATAACAATATTACATCACCTGTTAAATAACAATATTACATCACCTGTTAAATAACAATATTACATCACCTGTTAAATAACAATATTACATCACCTGTTAAGTACCAATATTAGATCACTTGTTAAATACCAATATTACATCACTTGTTAAATACCAATATTACATCACTTGTTAAATAACAATATTACATCACTTGTTAAGTACCAATATTACATCACTTGTTAAGTAACAATATTACATCACTTGTTAAATACCAATATTACATCACTTGTTAAATAACAACATTACATCACCTGTTAATAAACAATATTACATCACTTTATAAGTAAGGATATTACATCACCTGTTAATTAACAATATTACATCATATTATATTTTTTCTCAATACAACTTTGCATACACTTAATTTCCACAATCACACGCTATAATTCACAACGAACGATTCACGCACTTTACCGCGCTTGACTCAATTGTCCGTCTCCATTTCTGTCTGTCTGCAATTCTATCCTCGATATATTACATCACCTATTAACTAACAATAGTACATCACCTATTAATTAACAACATTACATCACCTGTTAATTAACAATATTACATTACTTTATAAGTAAGGATATTACATCACCTGTTAATTTACAATATTAAATCACTTTATAAGTAAGGATACTACATCACCTGTTAATTAACAATATTACATCACCTATTAATTAACAACATTACATCACCTGTTAATTAACAATATTACATCACTTGTTAAATAACAATATTACATCACTTGTTAAGTACCAATATTACATCAGCTGAGAGAAACAAAGGTTCTGAACATTAGTTTAAACGATATACACTACTACTGTATATTATTACTAGATGACTTAACAGGTGATGTAGTATCCTTACTTATAAAGTGATGTAATATTGTTAATTAACAGGTGACGTAATGTTGTTAATTAACAGGTGATGTAATATCCTTACTTATAAAGTGATGTAATATTGTAAATTAACAGGTGATGTAATATCCTTACTTATAAAGTGATGTAATATTGTTAATTAACAGGTGATGTAATGTTGTTAATTAATAGGAAACAAATCTGTTTAATGTTTATATGAAACACAATTACACCCTGATCTGAAAACATCCATGGTAAAAACAAACTAAATCTGAGTAAAGGAAATGAGTAACACACAACAGTAAGCTGTATTAAAATAAACTGATGTCAAGTGTCATAGGACTAATTATCAGTTCAGTAATTAACCATGCGACTGGTTTATTTTGACAACGTTTGTTGTTAGGACCTCAAACGTGGGCTATGGCAGAAGGAAAAGCACAAGTTTTACATCTGTTACTGAAGAAACTATTGGATGATGGAATGACTTTATACAAGGTAATGTTTTATTAGCCTCGGTGACATATAAAGTAATGTTTATTCTATTGTTAAACGCTATGTTTTTAATATTTTAATTTAGGCGTTTGTACTGTTCGCTAGAGGGAGCTTTCATTTGACGTGATGAGTGCGTGAAGTCTGGAATTTTCTTGAGAGTTTTTGTTTGTTTGTTGTTAAGCGCAACGCTTTAGGATGGACTATCTGTCATCTGCCTACTGCAGATATCAAAACCCGGTTTTTAGCGTTATAAACCCTCATAGATTTGAACGAATTGACAAGTAGACTAAAACAGGGACAGTTGTCAGTACCATCACTAGGACAGTCCCAAAGAGAGTACTCCTCAACCATAAGGGTCCCGGAAAAAACTCTAACGGTACGAATCGGTAGGTCAGTTTTATATTATAAGAAATACACAATAATAATGTATGACCTGCTGGGTAGTCTGTTAGGTCTATCTCGTCTGTATGTACAATCATTTGTATATGACAAACCTATGGTTTTGATCAGTTCTATACTTAATTTCTATTTCATCATACTATCCTTTATATTTCCAATAAAACTCAACTAATATTTAACGGACCCCAGTTCAAGTCCCCCCACCAGAGCTACAGAAAAACTGGCGCTGGATCTTTTAGTTTGGGAATGATTACAGAATTAGCGAGTGTGTTATTCCATTATCTGTGACTTTCAGTTTCGTAAATTTCGAGTTTGTGTATCAACAATGCAACAAACGGGAAGAGTTAGCTAGTAAATGACTAGCTTTATAGTGAAATTTGTAGAACTTGTAGTAAAAGAAATAAAACACTTTCATTTTCATTAAGCAGACTAGTTTTGTCATTATACGTTACCAAATAACCTAAAAGAACCCGCCCAATAATAAAATCATTACAACAATACATTTTTAATATCTTGGAATTGTATTTAACAACACAGGTTTATTAAGACTGACAGTTTAATCGTTTGGCTTGTAATATTAATAATTCTTGTATTTAACAACACAGGATTATTAAGACTGACAGTTCAATCGTTTGACTTGTAATATTAATAATTCATGATAATCATTTGATTTTTAACAAACGTTTGGCTAGTTTACTTTTCCTGTCAAGTTATATATGTATATTCATTAATTCGGTTAAAAATCATCGAATTTGTTTATTTGTTTTAAAGTAAAGCCACGTTGGGATATCGGGTGTGTCCACCACGGAGACTCGAACCCAGAATTTTAGCGTTGTAAGTACGTAAACTTACCACTCTCGCACTGTGGGTCAACCTAAAAAGGAGCAATAAAATCACAGCAGATATTACAATACAGAATACGGGAATAATTAATCGCAGAGGTTGCCAAACGTAGGAATACGGGAATAATTAATCGCAGACGTTGCCAAACGTAGGAATATCACGCACTTTTACCCGGCAAAAAATATTCTAAAAAAATAACTCGCTTATTTGTGAATTTCAGAGTAGCAAATATAACGTGGAGGTTTTGATCTATTCTTTGATTGGCTACTTCCGTTGCAGCAGACTAGTTTCGCTGAATTCACAGCTCACCAGCTAAACAAATAAATAAAGTAGGTCTATATATATAGTGGTTAGAATTAGTTGCAGCGGAAATAGCGAATCAAAGATTCTGCTTCTACGTCATATTTTATTCCAGAAATTCTCATCTTAGTGACGAAACGAAATTTACAAATAAGTAAATAAATAACCTGTTAGTTCGTTGAATAATAATGGATAACTAATAATGACGATGTCACGTGTTATCCATGGCCAGGTGGTTAGGGAGCTCGACTCGCAATCTGCGGGTCGCGGGTTCGAATCCCCGTCCCACCAAACGTGCTCGCCCTTTCAGCCGTGGGGGTGTTATAATCTGACGGTCAATCCCACTATTCGTTGGTAAAAGAGTAGCCCAAGAGTTGGCGGTGGGCGGTGATGACTAGCTGCCTTCCCTCTAGTCTTGCACTGCTAAATTAGGGACGGCTAGTGCAAATAGCCCTCTTGCGCGAAGTTCAAGAAACAAAGAAACACACATCTGAAGTATTTCAGCTTACCAGTGGTGAGCAAAGAACTATAAATTTAAACCAAACAAGGAACAGTTTTCTCACACAACATAGACTGTAGACCAACCAATGTGGCCTAGTGGCTAGTGTATCTAAACCGTAGATCCGAGTGTTCGTGACTCACGTTTCTTTATGACAAAATCACGCTTCGGTCTTTGATGCTGTAATGTGCTATAAAAGTGACTGTCAAATCCCTAGCTGCGTTCCTATCATCAATTTGTTCAAAGTTAGGGATTGTCCTTTGTGTAGCTGTGCGCTGAATTTTGAAATATGTTAGTAATTGGAAATCATTTTTTATTGTTTATTCTTCAGTATCGTTTCTTAGTAAAGGTTTTGTCGAACTAAGAACCTAAATACTTTCAAAAAAAAATGATGGCTTTCTTGTTTTTAACTTTGAACGTCAGAGGGGGCGGTTGAAGGAAGCAGCTCATCGCTACCAGTACGGACTGAAGAAGTTTCCGGTAGATGGTGCTACAGGAGATTATCAGAACGTCTTTCAGCAACTTATGTTCCAGATTTTAATTTCACTGTCACGATGCAAGCGGAAGATGCATGTAAGCTGAAACACTAGTAAAACATTATTTAAATAATATTAAAAAAACAAATGATTACAGAAACGTGGTGACAACTATTTCAATTAAAATTAAAAATAACTTGAGAAAGTTGAGGTAAGTAGTGGTAAAAAATATCTGTAAACAATGATCATTCGAACTCGTAAGAACTCAAACTTAGTCAAATGTTAAACTTCTAATTTACAGCCATTAGGTCACTTTGAAATTAATATTGGTATTTTTAATAGTTCTTCAAGCAGTCGATTTATATACATATATATTTAAGTTGTCAATAGATGGCAGCATAAGTAACTTTAGAAATATTAATATATTTGAATTTGAATTTGTGAATTCTAAACAGGATTTTGTCACGGCTATTGAGGCAGCAGAAAGAGCAGTGGAAATTAGACCTAAAGCATTTGAAGGTTATTATAGTAAAGCTCGTGCTAGACAAGAATCTGGGTGAGTGTCGCTTCAAACTCCAGGAAGTATTATTTAATAATTGTAGTTTGTTTTCTTCACCTTTCCGTGTAGCTTTAAATACTAACCCAAAATGTGTTTCAAACTTTAATAAAACGTCTTAGAAACATTTATTTGGCGTCATAAGACGTTTAAGTAATACTTTAAATGGGTATTTATCTTTCAAAATAAAAAGATTTGTTCACTCTGTCTTTTCTGTGTATCACGTAAAACAGCTTGCCACTATTTTGATGTTATAATGATTCAGTACCACGTGTCTCTACTTTGATGGTACTAAAAGTAGACTCGTTTATCTGACTGCTGACCACTCTTATGAAACTGACGATTACACAGCTGACAGAATGGCAGTTTGTCTTGTAATTTCGTGCTATATTGAGTAACCAAACTTACACTAACACTTGTAAATATGTCCTAAAAACCTAGCTAGTCGTTTCATCTGACCGCTGAAGATGTTATAGTGACGAACAGCTGGCATAGATTGTAATTCTACCGTTAATGTGCGTCCTTTGAAACCAACTTTTTCTCATGGACAACAGCTTGGCCAAATACTTGAAAAACAACAGTTTTTATCAGTAATATCATTCTGGACCACAAAGGAGTGGACGCTTCTTTCTACCACGGTTAATGTCGAGTAAAAAAACTGCGAATATCTGTTATGAAAAGCCAAATACACGTTCGTTGTATCGCTGTCTACGCTACTGTCTGGCTTAAATACATACACTCACAATAAAACAACAATAACAGAGAGGCAGTAAATAAATCATGGCAATTAAAACTACGACCGGTAATGATGAGCAAGTCAATCATCTTAATTATCAGAGCCAATAACATCATATTGGTAAACTATCTGTCTCGTGTTCAAAAACAAAGCACTTCAAAATCCTGTTAAATCCTGGCGTGAGAAGTATTAAACTAAGGTTTTGTTAACCCTTGTGTTTTTTATTTCAGTGTCCTGTGTACAGTATTAAGTATATAGTGATGAAGTATTAAACTAAGGTTTTGTTAACCCTCGTGTTTTTATTTCAGTGTATTAAGTATATAGTGATGAAGTATTAAACTAAGGTTTTGTTAACCGTCGTGTTTTTATTTCAGTGTATTATGTACAGTATTAAGTATATGGTGATGAAGTATTAAACTAAGGTTTTGTTAACCGTTGTGTTTTTATTTCAGTGTCCTGTGTACAGTATTAAGTATATGGTGATGAAGTATTAAACCTAAGGTTTTGTTAACCGTCGTGTTTTTATTTCAGTGTCCTGTGTACAGTATTAAGTATATGGTGATGAAGTATTAAACTAAGGATTTGTTAACCCTGGTTTTTTTATTTCAGTGTATTAAGAGTATGGTGACGATAAAGTTTTTCCAGATAATTCGTTCAAAATGGCGATAATTCTTCACCTTCTTCACACTGTGACTAATTTTGCAATATACCTATAGCTAACATGTGAATGTAAATAAAAACACTTTTCACGTGACTTCAGTCATGCAAGCAAAGTCGTCACTTGATCTTAGCATTTTATCGTGCTTAATGGAGTTTTACAAGGGCACGCGTCTCTGTTACTAAGCAACAAAAAAGAGAAATATAGATGATCAAATCGATATAAGTAGTCTCTTTCTGGAATTAAATGAACACGTTCGTTATGTCGCCGTCTACGTTACTGTTTGGCTTAAATACATACATACAAAACAACAACAACAACAGAGAGGCAGTAAATAAATCATGGCAATTAGAATGACGACGGATAATGATGAGCAAGACAACCATCTTAATGATCATTGCAGAAACGTCTTACATTTCATGACCGACGTAGGAATGACTAGTAATGTGGTTCCTCAAGAACAACCGGAAGTATGATGTTCCTTGTTTTATAGTGATCTGGAGTCCATTCTTATGGACCTTACATTTCAGTAAAACCTAATTGGTTTTTGTTTTATAGTGATCTGGAGTCCATTCTTATGGACCTTACATTTCAGTAAAACCTAATTGGTTTTTGTTTTATAGTCATCTGGAGTCCATTCTTATGGACCTCACTTTTCAGTACAACCTAATTGTTTTTGTTTTATAGTCATCTGGAGTCCATTCTTATGGACCTCACTTTTCAGTACAACCTAATTGTTTTTGTTTTATAGTCATCTGGAGTCCATTCTTATGGACCTCACTTCCAGTACAACCTCATTGTTTTTTGTTTTATAGTGATCTGGAAGCCGCTCTTTCGGACCTGACTGAGGCATTACGATTGGCCCCGCAGAACCAGGAGGTCAGAAGAGCCCTAGTCCGTTTAAAGGAGCAAATTACCACACCTAAAAGTAAGGCAGTCCACGATTTCGTCAGCTTCGATCGAAACAGAGAATCGTAATGGTGGATTTTGCAGGCAGTTTTATTATCAGCGGGTATTTATCTAACGTGGTGAATACTAAATGCAAGACATAATAGAAATACTTGTTAAGTTCATACAGAAAAAAAAATCTGCGCTTTCAAAAGTAAATTGTTTTATGTCTATCCGGACATTTAAAGATATATATTGAAATTTGTCATAAGTTACAGCTCGTAATAAAGAGACTCTAAACCAAATGACGTAGTCCAGGAAACCTACCAAATGTTGACATTACTAACAAGTTTAGATTTGTTTTAGAGCAAAGTTACACTGGACTGTCTGTTGTGTCCATCGCGGGGAATCGAACCCCAGATTTTTGCGTTGTAAGTCTTGCATAAGTAAATATAGTGTTTTATTAACTGTAGTCATGAAATTCGTAATCTGCAGCCCATAAGCCACCCTGATGTTATTCTACAAGACAAAATTCGGGTTCGTTTTAAGTCTATACATTCCAGAAAAATATAAAAATGTATAGTGTTTAGTTTTATTTAGCGTCATTGAAAACAAGATAAAGGATACAGTTTTTAGTTTTATTTAGCGTCATTGAAAACAAGATAAAGGACACAGTTTTTAGTTTTATTTAACGTCATTGAAAACAAGATAAAGAACACAGTGTTTAGTTTTATTTAGCGTCATTGAAAACAAGATAAAGGACAGTTTTTAGTTTTATTTAGCGTCATTGAGAACAAGATAAAGGACACAGTGTTTAAGTTTTATTTAGCGTCATTGAGAACAAGATAAAGAATACAGTGTTTAGTTTTATTTAGCGTCATTGAAAACAAGATAAAGGACACAGTTTTTAGTTTTATTTAACGTCATTGAAAAGAAGATAAAGAACACAGTGTTTAGTTTTATTTTTTATCTTGTTCTCAATGACGCTAAATAAAACTAAACACTGTATTCTTTATCTTGTTTTCAATGACGCTAAATAAAACTAAACACTGTATTCTTTATCTTGTTTTCAATGACGCTAAATAAAACTAAACACTGTATTCTTTATCTTGTTCTCAATGACGCTAAACAAAACTAAACACTGTGTCCTTTATCTTGTTTTCAATGACGCTAAATAACAACTAAACACTGTGTCCTTTATCTTGTTTTCAATGACGCTGGACACAGTGTTTAGTTTTATTTAGCGTCATTGAAAACAAGATAAAGGATACAGTGTTTAGTTTTATTGTTTTGATTTATTGAGGAAGTATTATGTTCATATAAGTTAATTTTTTTAAATAATTTCCGTTTGAGACATTTTATCATTTAAAGGACATATTTATTTTTACATGACGGTCTTTAATTTGATGTTCTTTTTAATTTTTTTTAGAGACTCAACAGAACTAGACAACTGAGAGGATTCAACAGAAATGTTCGAACGATTTTGGCCCCAGCTTTGTCTCGTGTGATTACTTCCAGCATCACCTGGCTCACGAATACCTCCCAAAAACTCAGAACTGAAAAATTGTTATGCATTTTTAGGCTTAATATTTGAGATAATTTTGCAATAAATATTGTTAAGATGTAAAACTAATTAACTGTATTTAATTACTTTCATTTTATAATAATCTGAAACGGAAAATATTTAGTGTACGAGAATTGTACATAATTGTTTGCATTTTAGGGTTAGGTAAAATAACAACAGATGGCGCTGTGTCAATTTCGCGAGCGTTATGAGTTGTGTACAGAGTTTGTAAGTATCGTGTAGGCGAACTAATGGTTATGTTATCGCATTTTTACGGGCCTAATTGCCACATCATTTGACTAGTCATTACTTCCAAATTCTATGCATGCCGAATTTATTTTTACTTTCTCGTATATTGAATTCTGTGTGATAAAAGTGTTTCATATCAAACTGTAATCAAAAATGTTTAATCTTTGTTGTTTATCACAATAAACACTAAAAATCGAAGTTAAAATTTGACATGTGTAACGAATTATGTAAAATCTCATTGTTTTCGTTAGTTATTCGTGCAGGTTTTCGAAGTTCTTACGTACATTCATTGTAAATAAATAAGAAATAAGAAGTTTCTGTAGCATTGGGTTTTCGGGGGACCATTACAGCAGAGATCTTTTTCAAATTCCAGGTTTTCGCTCTACCCTAGAATAGGAGCATAATACGTCTTTTATCACGTTTCAGGCTAAAGTAGTGATATTTCCTTTGTAGTTTATGGGAGTTTGCCTTGTTTTATGAGTTATCTAGTATTTCAAGATTTGATGGGTCAATGGGACATTAAATAAACAATAGGAACTCTTTATTAACACTATGATTAATGGTCAGTTTTCATCATTCCAGTTTTTTAACAACAACAAATAAGTCAGACGAACAACATCCGTCCGATCATCAGGGAACTGAAATATTTACCACTGAGATTAAAAGTTAAACATTGAAAACACTCGTTACTCACAGTTGTTACTAGTTCGTAGTTATATTAATCTTATTGAAATGAAACATCAACCGTCTATTACATGCACCATGAAATTACGATGGGGGAAAAAAACTGTTTTAATTGAATTTCTTACTAAATATATTTTGGTAAGTTATAACTGGGTACGTTACTTAGAAGTAACAATGTTCAATTGAGTAACCAACATAATTAATTCCATGATTTATTTACACTGT